AACATTTCTAGGTGTGTAGGTGTCGGTGTGTGCTATGGAGTATCCAGAACTGCTGTATTAACAACTGCATCAGTGTTAACAGAAAGCTTCTAGAGCAGTGTCTACAGTGAAGTGCTTTAAGGACTAAGTCAGCAACTTTTCAACTTCTAAGTGGGAAGATGATTTATGTATAAAGAAATTCGGCAGACTTAAAAACCTAGCAACTCCTGGTACACAGATTTACAGATTCTACCCACTTTGTCTTGATTCCCAGTTTAGAACTTGGGTCTGTAGATTCTAGAACCTTCCAGAAGTCCATTATCAGTTCCTCCACCAGAAGTTGCCTGGCTCTGATCCCGTGCAAGGGAGAAGATAGTCCAGGTTCTCATTGCCTTTTTCTGTTTATATTTAGGGGTGGAGGTAGAGGACTGGAAATTCCTCATTGGTCCTGATTAGTCTGACCTCTGAGGGCTTTTTCCAACCTTAGCTTTGTGCTTTTAAAAAGTTGTGCTTCAGGCCGGGCGCTGTGGCTCAAGCCTGTAATCCCAGCACTTTGGGAGACCGAGGCGGGTGGATCACGAGGTCAAGAGATCGAGGCCATCCTGGTCAACACGGTGAAACCCTGTCTCTACTGAAAATACAAAAAATTAGCTGGGCATGATGGCACATGCCTGTAATCCCAGCTACTCAGGAGGCTGGGGCAGAAGAATTGCCTGAACCCAGGAGTCGGAGGCTGCGGTGAGCCGAGATCGCGCCATTGCACTCCAGCCTGGGTAACATGAGTGAAACTCCGTCTCAAAAAAAAAAATAAATAAATAAATAAATAAATAAAAAGTTGTGCTTCATTAAGAGAGGGAAATTTAGTAATTGTTAATTCTGATAGCTGGGCCCCTCTCTGAAATGTCTCCTTTACTCTTGATAAGAGATCTTTTGCAAAAGGTTCAGAATCAGAAAAGCCAACAGCTAGATCATACCGTAGAAATGACAGCTTTTTCCTAAGAACAGAAGAAAATGATAAAAGCCATGATGAGGCTTTGTTTCTTACTTTTGCCTTTCTCTACAATGGATTTGCAAGGCTTAATACAAATAACAATTATATGAAAATACACACATTTCTAATTTAAAAATTTAGGGAAAACCAAACAGAAACCATAAAATCAAGGTTCAGACAAAGGTAGAATGAGGAAATGTAGCTTCATGCAAAGTACATTAAGTTTGAATACAGGTGAATAAATATGTAAGAAGGAAGGAAGGTATGATGTACTTAAATTGTTTCTGATAGTTGTTTTTTTTTTTGAGACAATCTCACTCTGTTGTCCAGGTTGGAGTTCAGTGGCATGATCCTGGCGCACTGCAACCTCTGCCTCTTAGGTTCAAGTGATTCTCTTGCCTCAGCTGCCTGAGTAGCTGGGATCGAGGTGTGTGCCACCACACCTGGCTAAGTTTTGTATTTTTAGTAGAGATGCGGTTTCACCATGTTGGCCAGGGGCCTCAAACTCCTACCTCAGGTGATTTGCCCACCTTAACCTCTCAAAGTGCTGGGATTATTAGGCGTGAACCACCATGCGTGGCTTGTTTCTGATGTTTCTGGTATCAATAATGTATTAATTTTCTGTTGATGCCAAAACAGATTCTCACAAATATTTAGCAGCTTGAAACAACACATTTATTATCTCACAGTTCTTTAGGTTAGCCTGGGTGACATAGTAAGACCCCGCCCCTATTCCAGTACTATTTTTGCTTGCTTTGTAAGTGACTAGAAAATAAATAATTTATTGTGTATTCTCGAAAAGCTAGAAGAGAGGATTTTGAATGTTCACTACACAAAGAAATGATAAATGTTTTAGGTGATGGATATGCTAATTTCCCTGATTTGACTATTATACATTGTATACATGTATCAACACATCACTCTGTATCCCTTAAATATGTGCAATTATGACATGTGAACTAAAACCAGAAGAATATACTGTACCCCTAACCATTAATCTAAAACCATCATCAGCCCTGACTCCTTCCCAAAATTACAGCTTCATAAAACCAAGTCAACTTCTTGGAATTTCTGTGGGCACAAACAGTAGGCATGACAAACTAAACATTCTGAAAACAATGTCTCCAATTCTATTCCCTGACCTGCCCCTTTCTTCGTTTTCTTTTAGGAATCAGAGCCATTGTCCTCTCATTTGATGAAGTGCCAAGTCTAAAATTTATTATTGATTTTTCTCTCATTTGGTAACCAAAATCCAAGTGCTTGCTGATTTTATGTGCCCCAAGAATCACCTCCAGTGCTGCCATGCTCATACAGTCCCATGCCATCTCTTGCCTGGGTACCTGAACTAGCTTTCACAGATAACTCACTCTCTCCATGAACAGAAGAAAAAATGGCTTTTTAAAACACAGTCAGCAGAGCTACTTCCAACAGTGATGGCAAAAAAGAGACCAGATTTATGCTGCTACCTTAAACAACTGAAAATCTAGGGAAAATGGGAAAGAATGGTTTTCCGACACTGGACAATGGATAGTATAGCATTGCAATCTCCAAAAAGGGGAAATAAATAAGATGATCCCCGTGATTGCTCTGCTTACTGACTTGAGAGAGTTTGCAGGCCACAGTGCACTAGGGGAAACACAGGTAGAGCCCAGTAGATTCTTTGAAATGAGTTTGAAATGAGAAGATAAAGTTGGGAGTTGGGAAGAAAAGGCAGAGTTCAAAGATTAGTACTGAATAAGAGAGTACTGCAGACAGAATATGATTAAGACATCAATTCTTCCTGAAGCAAATCCATAGATTCAAGGTGATTCAAATTAAAAAAACATTAACAACCTAATTCTAAAAATTTATATGGAAAGGCAAAGTAACTAAAATAGCCAAACTACTTTTGAAAAGGAACAACATTGGAGTACTCATGCCTCCTAATAGCAAGACTTGCTATTAAGCTAAAATTATTTTATTTATTTATTTTTTTTTTTGAGACGGAGTTTCACTCATGTTACCCAGGCTGGAGTGCAATGGCGCGATCTCGGCTCACCGCAACCTCCGCCTCCTGGGTTCAGGCAATTCTCCTGCCTCAGCCTCCTGAGTCGCTGGGATTACAGGCATGCACCACCATGCCCAGCTCATTTTTTTGTATTTTTAGTAGAGGCGGGGTTTCACCATGTTGACCAGGATGGTCTCGATCTCTTGACCTCGTGATCCACCCGCCTCGGCCTCCCAAAGTGCTGGGATTACAGGCTTGAGCCACCGCGCCTAGCCTTAAGCTAAAGTTATTAAGACAGTGTGATATTGGCTGAAGGGTAGACATACAGACCAATGGAACACAAAAGAGTCCAGAAATAGATCCACACACAATATAGTCAGTTAACTTTTGACATAAGTAAAACAGTCAATGAATAAAGAATATTGTTTTCAACAAATGGTACTGGCATAATTGGAGATTAAAAAATAATAACAAAAAAGAAACTCAACCTAAGCCTTACATTCTTTGCAAAAGATAAAGATGGATTATAGATTTAAATGTTAAATGCAGAACTACTGAATTTTTAGGAGAAAACATTAAAAAATGTCCAGGACCAAGAGCTAACTAAGCAAAGAATTCTTTGACATGACACCAATAGTACAATCTGTAAAAAAGGAGTAAGTTGGACTTCATAAAAATGACAAATTTTTACTTTGAAAGTTATGGTTCGTTAGCTAGGCATGGTGGCTTGTGCCTCTAGTCCAAGCTACTCAGGAGGCTGAGGCAGGAGGATCGCTTGAGCCCAGGGGGTGGAGGCTGCAGTGAGCCAAGATTGTGCCACTGCACCCCAGCCTGGGCAACAGAGTGACACTTTGTCTCAAAAAGATAAAAATGAAAGTAATGGTTAAGCTTTAGGCTCAATAAATTAATAAAAAAAGAAAAGAAAAACAGAGCTCTGCATCTTTTAATGGCTACCAGACTTTTAACTCAGGCTTAACAAACCCTGCTGTATCTGGCTCAGACCTCATTTTCTGGTTACCCACTCTTTTACACTCTTACTGAAAAATGACAGATGAATGTGGAGGCTGTTGCAATAGGTGAAGAAAAAGAGAGCCATCAAAGGCCCTCAGACAGATGAAGGATGAGAGAAGGGAGGTGGTTTTGTGATTGACAGAAAGGTATGATGAATGCTATGAAAAGAACTAAAATAGTTGATGAACTAGACTGGAGAGTGCCTGAGAGGCTGTGCTATCTTAGGGACTCAGAAAACAAAAATATTCTGAGGAGGTTATGTTTAAGCTGAGATTAGAATTACGTGAACTGGTCACGTGAAGTTCAAGAGAAAGAATATTCCAAGCAGGAGAGCAGTTAGTACAAAGATTCTGAGATAAGAATGAATTTGGTATGTTTGAGAAATAAAGATATTACTAGTGTAATTACTAACATCATAGTAGATGGGAGAAACACTTTTGAGGAGGAACATCAGCAGGACAGGCAACAGCCAGATAATATGAGGTTTTGGGAGTCAGATGTTTTTATTATTGGCACAATGGGAAGCTGTTGGAGGGTGTTAAGAGAGGGGCATGATCATATTTACATTAGAAAAATTTGGCTGTTGTGTAAATAATTGATTGCTATGGTGCAAGAGTGAAAGTAGAAAGATTAGGAAACTAATGTAGTGGTCCAGATGGTGGTGGTTTGAAGTCATGTGGTAGTAGACAGGAAAGAAACGCACAGATTTGGTCCATGTTTTTGACATAGAGCCAATGGGATATGGTGATGGATTAGATTAAAAGAATCAATAGCTCATGCCTATAATCCCTGCACTTTGGGAGGCCAAGGCAGGCAAATCACTTGAGATCAGGAGTTCGAGACCAGCCTGGCCAACTTGGTGAAACCCCATCTCTACTAAAAATACAAAAATTTGCCAGGCGGTGTGGCATGTGCTCGTAATCCCAGCTACTTGGGAGGCTGAGGCAGGAGAATTGCTTGAACCTGGGAGGCAGAGGTTGCAGTAAGCCAAGATTGTGCCACTGCACTCCAGCCTGAATGGCAGAGCAAGTCTCTGTCTCATTAAAAAATAAATAAAAAGGAATCAATAATTACTTATATATGTGACTTAAGACATTTGATAGAGGGTAATGACTTTTCCTAAATTTAGAAGAAGTGGAGAGGATTTGGCAAGCAACCGTTCTGGGGGAATCAAATTGATAGTTTTATTTTGATGATGCCCTGTAGGTTTTCAAGTGGAAATGCAGTCTGGACTTCTGAAGAGAAGTTGTGGATTATGATGGATGTTTAGGGGGAGTCATTAATATACAGATGGGATTTCAAGTTATAGGAACACATTACCTAGGATGACTGCATTGAGATAAATAGATGAGGAGGGTCTAGAATTGAGCCTTCAGGTACACCAACATTTAAAAGTCAGAAAAGAGCCAGTCAAGGAAATTGAGAAAGAGAAGTCACTGAGGTAGGAAGAAAACCAAACACGTATGATAGCTCCAGGAAAATTATATATTTTAAAGTAAAAGGGGTGTGGACAACTGAGTCATGTATGCTTAGGGGCCTAAGATTCCCATCATTATCAGATAAGCATATATAATTTAGATTTATCCCATTGGATTCGTAGGGAAGCACCAAATGTCTGAAATTGCAGTGCAGCAGCATGGCAAAGGATGTCACTGTTGTCCTTGATAAGGGTAGTCCCAAGTGCAGTAATCAAGATACGAACCCATTTAGAATGGATTCTGGAGAAAATGTGAAATAAGGAACAGAATAAACTGGAAGTGACCCTTGAGTTTGCTGTCAAGGAGAGCAGAGAAATTGGTTGTAAAGTTCTGGAGGATGTGTGTGGTACAAGAAGTTTTTAAGTTTTCAGTTAGTAGATTAGAGAACATATGTATATGCTGATGGCAGAAACACAAAAAAGAAAATTTGATGATGAAGACAGACCATTTCCATTTCTTCCACGCAGTTTCTACTGATTTCTATTAATGCTTTATCTTTCCTGTTTTTTTTTTTCTTTCTTTTTAACACTGTAAACATATGCTGTGTCAGTCAGGTTTCTACCCGATAAATAGAACTGAAAATAGATCATAGACTTCAATGTAAAAGACAAAACTGTAAACTCCTAGAAGATAACAGGAGAAAATCTAGATGACCTTGGGTTTGGCACCCTGTTGTTTCGACCTTACAAATCATTACCAAAAATTTTTGAGGGGTGAGCTCCATTTGCACTGGCCTTGTAGGCAGCTGCTTCCCTTTTGAGGGTGCCCCACTTGACCTTTGAGTGGCTGGTGGGGACAAGGAGTGATAGCAGCAAGGAATATAGCAACCAAGGAGGTACCTGCCTCAGTAGCACTTGCTCTTGCAAGGTGCAAGGGACTCAGGCAGGTGCAGTTGCCGTATCACAGGTTACATTTAGCTGACTTGATCCTTTCATACTGCCTCTCCTTTATCAACACAGCAAAGCCCAGCATTTTGTCATCTTTTCTGACTTCACTATGAAGGAATTGCTGCTGCCCAGGAGCCTGGTATTCTGTGGCTCTTTCATCAGTGAGATGGAGGTAGAGTTTCATCATACTGGCCAACTCACTCTGGCTGGAGACCAGAACTTTGCAACTTATGCCCAATACAGGCCAGACCACTATCAAGACCCCATGTAACAAGAGCAGCATATGTAGCTCAAGGGACAACATGCCCTCGAGTAGTGGCCCGTCACCAGGGGCCTGACTGGAGAAAGAGTGACTTCTGTTCCATAGTGAAACATTCTCGTTACAGTGAAACCTGCCCTCCAGGAGCTGCAGGGGAGCCTGAAGGTTCAGAGTCATCTGTATTCACCAGAATTTCTGGAGAGTCCCCAAGGCAACACCTGACAACAGCAGTACTATGTTGCACAAAGCAGCAAAATCTAAAACCAGCACGCAGTAATGCCATCCCAGACCGACCAGGCCTGATACAGGAAGTTAGTGATCCATCCACATGGACACACATTGGGAAGTGTTTCTTTGTGGTAAGTGTCCCGTACCTTAAAGCAAAACAAAAAACTCAGTTTCCTGAACCCACAGTATATCATAATGCAATGGGAATTGAGACTCCACAATGAAAACTCCTAGTGAGAAAAAGAAAAATGAAGAGGATGCAGCAGGCACTGTTCTACTGCAATTAACCAAGGCCATTGAAAAAGAATAGTAAGAATCCCCTATCCCGGCAGTGGAGGAAGTCTCTTAATTAGTCCATCTGGAAGTCTTGGTTCTCCTATCCAGAGGTTGTATACTGTTATTCTTGGCCTTTCCCTCTTGCCTTTTGTCCTTGTTCCTTCTTTTCTTTTCTCTCTCTCTCTTCCTTTCCTTTCCTTTCCTCTTTCCCTCTTTCTCTTGTCTCTTCTGTCTCCTAGGCTAGAGTGCAGTGGCACATTCTCGGTTTACTGCAACCTCCAACTCCCAGGTTCAAATGATTCGTCCTCAGCCTCCCAAGTAGCTAAAATTACAGGTGTGAACCACCATGCCTGGATAATATTTGTGCTTTTAATAGAGATAGCATTTCACCATGTTGCTCAGGCTGATCTCGAACTCGTGACCTCAAATGATCCATCCACCTTGGCCTCCCAAAGTGCTGGGATTACAGGCATGAGCCATCATGCCCAGCCTTGTTCTTTATTTTCTATGGCTACACCTTATTTGGGCATTTAAGAGTATACACCTCCTGTGAACTTTAAAGCATTTTTAGGAGTCAAACATGCAAATAAAATGCACAAACTACTCTGCCTTGGAAATGCAAATAACTTTAGGGGAGACATTAAGGAAAGGGAGAAGGAAATTAACAGAGTCAAGCAGTGGGGTGAGTGAGAACGTTGATAACAGGACTGCCTGATATACATGTTGAGTAGTGTCGTTTGCCATTGCATCAGCAAAGTATGTTATACAATACAGAAATGACAATTTCTGAATGTTTATGTGCAGAAAGCAAGGTAAAGGGCTGAGTTATGATTTATTTATTTGAATACAAAGTCATTAGGCAATGGTTAGCCAGAGTATTTTACATAAGCAGAAACTCAAAATCAGAAATGTTCATGAAATTGTAAGCTGGGAGTTTACAAATACTGTGAACATGAGGATGGGAATTTACTAGACCTGACCTGATTCATATTATGAGGGCTGGAGATAATTTGGACTGGACATTAAGTGATATTATTGTTTATCAATGCTGTAAACATTTATTGAATGCCTATCATATATCAGACACTATCTTATATGCAGGAGATTGAAATCCATCAGCAAACAATATAGACCAAAACCTCTACCCTCAGATAGTTTACATTCTCATTACTTGAAAGAAACATATCAAGTACCGTACAATTACACTGTTTCACGACAATAAATGAAACCACAATTGCAAAGATTTTGACAGTGAGAGAAATCTAACATGGTTGACTTTTTCCTGCTTTTAGCCTCAAAGGTTGTCTTGTCTTTTCTCACTCCTCTCTGTAGGCTAAGATAAGCAGGTGAAGAATTTAGTTGATAGTTTAACATGGAAGCAAGGATGATAGTAGGCCTTCCCTAACTAACACCCTCCTTGCTCTGGGACTGAAAAGTAATGAAAGGCCCTGAGATTAGGATTAATTCAAGGGGTCTGAATTCTGCTAAAATGTAGAATTATAGTTTCTTTAATCCCTTACTGCCCAGGCGTCATGTGGCCAGAGACCCCTGGGCAGGAAGGACCAAGATTTGTGACTTTCCCAATTGCTTCTATAGGCAACACCTCTATTGTAGAACCTAAAGATTAGTCTTTTGAGATGTTTTTCAGACTTGCATTCTAGCAATGACTCATGACTCAAGTGGTCCTGTAACCCCCTCACTCCAAGGCAGACTCAGTGCATGAGGACCACTTCCCACTTTCCTATGATTGCCTCCCCAACCAGTCAGCAGCACCCATTCGCTCCTCGCCACCAAACTGTCTTTGAAAAACCATAACCTCTCAGCTGTGAGGAAACTAATTTCAATGATAGCTTCAGTTCATCCATGTGGCCAGCATCATGTTAATTAAACTCCTTCTTTACTGCAATACCACAGTCTCACTGAACTGGTTTTGTCTGTGCAGCAGGCACGAAGAACCCACTGGGTGATTACATAAGCTTCGTAGGTGGGATGAAATGGCCGAATTCCTTGAATTTGAAAATCGCAGTTTACCAAAAGTGACCAATGTGAAAAAGAAAACTGCCAGGCCTAATAATTGTTGAAGAAATTGAACCTGTATTTAAAAGCCTTCTCAAAAAGCAAACCCAAGATCCAGTTGGCTTCACTAGCAAATTTTTCTAAATGTTCAAAAAAGATATAATACCTGAGGATAGAATCAGAAAATCACTTCCAGACTCCTTTCAGGAAAATGTAAGTTTGATGTAAAAGCTAACAAGAACAGTAGAGAAAAGTGAAATAACAGAGCCATCTCTACATGAACATAAATACAGAAATTCTAAACAAATCTGTGAGACAGATGATAAATGTTGAAAAGCTATCATGAGCAAGCATGGTTTATTTCAGAAATGCAAGGGTAGTTTAACATATAAATTCATCTAATTTATAATCATGTAAATGAAGGAATAAAAATAATATGATTATGTTAATATTTATAGAAACTTCATTTAATAAAATTCAATATTCATTTATGATTTAAAGAGTAAAATAAAACTCTTAACTAAGAAGAAACCTTCAACAGTCTAACTTTAAAAGGAGAAAGCTCCAGGAAGCCTACAGCAAACATTTTACTTAATGGTAAGATAAAGGTTTTTTTTTTTTTTTTTCCCAAAAAAAACACTGTCTCATCTGAGCCTTACAAGTCCCCTCACTTATTCTCTCCTCTCGTACTCTTTTTCCCACTTCCACTTAGGATATAGGCTGAGGTCCAGAATGAAAAATGACACCTACAGTGGCCTCATTGTCTACTTCTTACCCTTAAATCATGGGGTACAGAAGTATTTTCCCTGAGGAAATACTTGAGCCACTCATCCTGGAATGCCTCAATGTGACTGTCTACTTCTTACCCTTAAATCATGGGGTACAGAAGTATTTTCCCTGAGGAAATACTTGAGCCACTCATCCTGGAATGCCTCAATGTGACCAAGGTTAAATGAAGTTAGGACTGGGATTAGGGTATCTGGTATTAAAATCTATGTTGGTTTTAGCCCATGGTTTCTGCTTCATAACTACCACAGCCTTTGCTACCGTCCTATGTTATAATGTTGGGCATATTAGGCCTCAGGAAACAGAATCTCTCTCCTCTCCTTCATCTACCCCAAATCAGGACTCTAATCTTCTCCCACCTGTCTAATTATGGGTCTTAAGACCCTCCCCAGAGAGGATCCTATAGTATGCACTGGGGGAAAGAATGCCGACTTCATGAAGCTTCCATAAAAACCCGAGAGGACTGGACTTGGAGAGCTTCATGATAGGTGAACACATGGAGGTTCCTGGAGGGTGGTGCACTCAGGGAGGGCATGGAACTGCATATCCGTTCTCCCATACCTTGCCCTCTGTGCCTCTTCACCTATATCCTTTGTAGTATCTTGTATAATAAAGCAGCAAGCCTACATAAATGTTTGGCTGAGTTCCATGAGCCACTCTAGCAATTAAATCATTTCTCTGAGTTCCATGAGCCACTCTACCCCCGAAGAGGGGCTGGTGGGAACCCCATATTGAAGCTGGTTGGTCAGAAATTTCAGAAGCCTGGATTTGTGACTTGTGTCTCAACTGTCAATTGTAGGACACCCAGCTGGTGTCTACTGCTTGGTTGTGGGGAAAACCCCCTACACATGTGATACAGAAGTCCTCTCTTATGTTGGTGATTGTGGTGGTGGTGTGAGAGTAGAAGAAACGCAGGGTAGAGAGCTCAAAAGTACCCCCAACCTCACACTGTTTGTAACTCTGTCTCCTCAGGAGGTGAAGCAGGATTGGCGTTTCTGTTGCTACTCTTGGCTAAGTCAGGGCCCTCGCTCAGGGCCCTCTCCAAAATAGTGGGCAAGGAGCGAATCAGTCTTTCTTGGACGTTACGACCCATGAAGACGTAGAGAATTGGGTTGAGGCAGCTGTTAAAAAAGGCCAAGGAACTTGCTGGGTTAACCAGGGCAACAATGATTTTGTATTTGCCATTGAACAGTATCTCTTTGAGCCAGACTGCCATTAGAATGCCAATTACTTCAGAAGGGAACCAACAGATGAAGAAAGAAGCCACCACAGCAGTGAGGACCCATAAGGGACGGCTGGATTTAATCATACGCTTCTTGTGAATTTTCGCACAGATGATCCCATAGCAGACTGTGATGATGGACATGGGGATGCTGAAGCCAATAATGAAGTGGAGGATCACATAGACATTGACCATGTTAATGAACACGTTCAAATTCTCTGCAACAGTGTCAAGCCAGAATGCCATGTTAAAGATACAGTATGTGTCCCCATTCTCAGTACTTGTAGTCCAGAAGATAAAATTTGGTAAGGTAAAGACTATGGCAACAATCCAGAGTCCCATGATCACTCTCTTGGCCAGACTCATGGTGCGGTGGTTCATGGCCCAGACTGGATGCAGGACACAAATACAGCGGTCCAGGGCAATGACAGTGATCAGGTAGACACTGACATAAAGGTTGATGTCTGCCATGACGTGAACTAACTTACATAGGAACCGGCCAAAAGGCCACTTTTCTCCCATGGCGACTGAGACCGTGCGGAATGGTAGGATGGCACTGAAACAGAAGTCAGCAAGGGCCAGGTTCAGGTAACAGATGGTGCTGACTGTGCGTTTCATCCGGAATCCAGCCACCCAGAGCACAAACCCATTGCCCAGGACCCCGAAGACAAAACTGACTCCGTGGAATAGCAATGAGAAGATCCACAGAATGGTGTAGCCATCAGGCGCAGGGAGCATCTTCTCAGATTCATTCAGAGGGATGGAGAAGTCGGTTTCCATCTTCCCACACCTGAAACATGAAACATTTCAGCAATGGCCATTTCTCAGCTGTAGAACCATCTTACAGTACAATTATTCATTAACTTTCACTATAGCACTTCCCCCACCAGGAGACCCACTCCAGTGAGCCTTGTTGATAGTCACAGCATGAAATTGGCACTCTCTTGGAGGTCCTTTGGGAAAGGTTAGTTCTCCATATTCCCACCATTATTAATATGCATTCCACCTATCAGGCCGATTACTTTACCAAGAGTTAAATTAAAGGGCTCTATCCAGCAGCAGAAATACTAAACTCAGAGTGTATGGACAATGGAGAATTGAGCAGAGGCTGTTTCAGTATCGTAAGGAAGGCACAAGACTCAGAGTCGGAATGTTCATGTCTGGTCTCTATCACTGAATGCAAACATGCTGGCAAGGTCTGCAACTTCTTTCAGCCTCATGCTCTCCCAGTCTCTTAGCTCCTGTCCCTCCCACTGTGAGGACCCTTGACCTATTTTTTGGGTGATATTTAATTTAAAGTTTTAGGGTTTGGGTTGAGTTCATAGCTGAAGAGGATTTTGAACCATTACCAGTAATAGGTAGACATATATTATGTGCGTGGTGGCTCATACCTATGATATCAGCACTTTAGGAGGTCGAGGCGAGCGGATCACTTGAGGTCAGGAGTTGGAGACAGACCTGGCCAACATGGTGAAATCCCGTCTCTACTAAAAATAGAAAAATTAGCCATGTTTGGTGGCGAGAGCTATAACTGTAGCTACTTGGGAGGCTGAGGCAGGAGAATGGCTTGAACCCGGGAGGCAGAGGTTTTAGTGAGCCAAGATCGCACTACTGCACTCCAGCCTGGGCAACAAAGCAAGACACCATCCTCCAAAAATAAATAAAGCCAAAATATATCCTATAGATTCTGTGCTAGAAGAAGTGAACAAAGAGGGCTGTGTATCTACTTTTTCCCCGACTGTTTTTCATTGTCTCTGCTTGATACAAAGTTCTCTGTTTGGGATGCAGTGAATTAGCATTCATGTTATATATCTTCAAGGTCTGTGGGGTAAACAGAATGAGCATGAATCTTTAGCTCATATTTGTGGGGTTCTTATCAGAGACTATTTTTACTGTGTTAATTGCTACATATGGGTAGTAGTTTGGTCTACATAATAGCTCGGCAGTGTTCATTATTTGTCGTTTCCATAAGAATGAATCAATATTGAGAGCAATTGTGAAACCTGCTGATCACTTAAATAGGAAATAGTAGACAAACATCTTTAGTTCAGCTTAGTCTGACTTCTAAGCCTTTTCTCTATGCAACAATTTTGACAGATATTGCCGGTAACACCCCCTCCCCCAACCAAATAACTGTTCCTCATTTCTTCTCTGCAAATCAAATTGCAATGTTGTTCAGATACTCTTTGGAGAAGGTTTCCCTCCACCACCTTTGCGGGTATATCTTGGTTTTCTAATTTGTACTAACTAGAATTCCTTTTGCTTTGCAAAGGATCGTTTATTGGTGGACACATGACTAAATTCGGGGCAATAACACTATGCGAAGGTATCCTGGGGTGTTTCTGGGATCTATTTCCTTGCTTTTAAGAAACGAAATCACAAAATTATAGTCCCTGACTCTGCAGCAGGTCACATGGGAAGCTGTTGCATCCAACTCAACCCAAAGGTCTATGTGACCCCTGCGCCTTTGCCACTTGTCCAAATTTGCTTATACCGTGGTCTGTGGGCTTTATCACAAACATCCAAGGTATTTGTTAAAATGCGTATTCATGAACCCCCCCCACAACCCCCCACCCTGCTAGAGTCTCTCTGTCTAAAAACTACAATGATTTTTATGGCCATGAAAATTAGAGCTGGGCTATCCAGCCTCTCTAAAAGTAACAGCAATTATCTAGCACTTGTTCACATCTAATACCCGTAATAACATTGTGGGGCAGCCATCGTTACCCCTTTTTAGCCAGAGGGAATTCATGGCCTAGGGGTTTTAGTTTTTTTCAGCGTCATTTCCAGCCAGTCCGTGGGGGCAGCGAGATTTGAAATTCAGGATGAGCAACTTCAGAGCCACTACCTTTGCAGCTCTACAGTGCTGCATTTGAAAGGAGTTCCCCAAAGATTTCCAGGATATGGTCATACCCTAGTGTCATGATTTTTTCCTTCTTTCCCTTTCTCTCTTCCTGTCATTACCAATCACTTTCACTGAGGTCTGTCATGGGACATTGTGTAATGTAGCTCAAGGTTTCTCAATCTTGGCACTACTGACATTTGGGGTTGCATAATTCTTTGTTATGGGGGACTGTTCTGCACACAGTAGGGTATTTAGCAGCACCCCTGGCCTCTATCCACCAATGCTGGTAGCAACTTCCCCGTCAGGAGTGACAACTGAAAGTGTCTGTAGACATTGTCAAAGGTCCTGGGGGAGGCAAAATTCCCCCTAGTTGAGCATCACTGTTATAAAGAGCACTGGGCTTTGGGATAAGTTAGATCTCTACTCTTGTCTTTGGCACCTTGCCAATATGAGTGCTTGGTCAGTGACATCTCTCTGAGCCTCAGTTTTCTCCTCTGCAGAATGAGGACAGTTTTGTGGTGAAGTCTAACTTTGTGGCGAGGATTAAGTGAGATTAGACATGGATCTAGGCTAGACTGAGTGAGTCTATGACAAATGGGAACTCTTGGTACTCACCAGGCTGTGTGCTATGTCATGGGGCTTAATCCCAGGCCATGCATTATGAAATTCAAGGTCAGGACGAGAACGATGTTCATGGGAATAGTGGCTACGACTTACGAACATTACCCACATGCCAAGAGCTTCTCCTTTAACCCTAACAACTCCTCTCACAGCCTCTGCGGTTGGGATGTATTAATATGTGTAAGTACTGAGCACACCCTGAGACATGGTGAATATTGACTAATGTTAGTTATAATTAGTACAACCATTGTACAGATGAGGAAGTTGACTTACATTGGTTACATTAATTATTTAAAGCCCCCAGTCAGAAAGGGGTAGAACCAGAGTTGGAGCTCAACTGGACTGATTTCAACAGAATTGTATAGTTAATGCTCTCCCATTCCCTAGTTCCTCAACAGACTCAGATTTTCTCTACCCACTCTCCAAATATCCTAGAAGGCATTCAGAAGGTATGATGTATCAAGAATCTCTAAGTCACTTGGAAATGTTGACACAAGAGGGAAAGATAAGTGCCCAGTGACAGGTGGGGATGGGCCAAGAAGACGATGTTGTAGAATTTTGGATTCACCCTAGTTATAAAGTAGGGAAGAGAACCATGGATCAGAGATTATACCTCTACTGATTATGAGGGCTGCTGTTTGGTGAGGTCCCAATGTGTGTCAACCAATGTATATTTTATTATTTCTAATTATAACATAGTTGTTTTGGGACAAATATCGTTCTTGTGTAATCCATAGGAAACCACGGCTCAGAGAGGGGAAGTGACTTGCTCAGTGTCACAGTTATTGAGAGGCACATCTGGATGTATGATTACAGGTTTCAAATGGAAACTCAGCACTTCCTTGTTAGCATCTGTGCTTCTCCAGCACATGTGATTTCTCATGCCTTAAAATAACATTCAGCCCTTCTGCTTTATCCTCAAACTAACCAACTTCCTCTACTATTCCACTCTCAGCGAATGGCCTTGTCTGATATTTTAATGAGAAAATGGCAACAGTTAGATGTGCATTTTTTAGCCCTTTCTCTCCTAACCCTCAATTTACCTGCCCTTGTTATTGTGAATAAAGACGGCTTCTTCCCAGTGACTTCCCTCTTCACATTTGCTTTCCATCCCACTCTCTCTCATCTTCCCAAGAACTTTGCCCTTCTGTTTTCTGCTGAAAACAAACCCTCAAGATTTTATTTCTACTACACCATTCTTATTATCACATAAACATTCTTCTATCCCTTCTCTTTAAAAGAAAACCAATCTTGGCCCATACTTCTTTCTAAGCTTCTACCCTATTTCTTTAAGAGAAGTGTTTTCTGTAAAGAGAATTCCTAGACAAACTTTAGAAATGGTGATCTCTAATTGCTTGCTTTTTTTTTTTCTCACCTCACCTGCTCTGCTGAATCCATTTTATATTGACTTCAGTCCTTAGCACTCCAGCTAATGTGCTCTCCTAAGGATGCATGTGTCCTCCAGGCTACCAAATCCAATGGGCCTTTCTGAGTTTTTATCCTGATGTTCCAGTGACATAGGACCCACCAGATCTCTTTCTCCTTCTTCAAACACATTTTTTTCCGTATCATAAGATGTATACACAATCCACTCTTGGTTGTCTTTACAGCTCCATTGGCCACCTCTTTTCAATCCAATTCACGGTGTTTTCTGGTCTAAATTTCTCTAAATTTAGGGTGTCGCACACTCTATCGGTGATGTCATCACAGCTTGAAGTACCATCATCTCATCTGAATTATTAGCCTTGGCCTCCTTTGGAGCTCTAGTCTCATATAATCAATTGACTTCTTGATATCTTCCCGTGGGAGTCCCATGGACTCTCCACACCTAACGTTGCCTAAACTAAACATTGTTTGTCCCTTCCTCCCAAACCTGCCACTCTTCCAATGTTCTGTATCTACTTGGAGCTTAAATATTCAGTTATTAAAGCTCTAAATCTAGAACTCACCTTTCATTTTCCTTACCACACAATACAATCCAAGTCCTGTTTATTCTATCTACAGAACATGCTGAATGCACAGCCGGAGCCATCTTCATCTCCACTACCCATGCCCATGGCCCTGTCAGGCTTAGATATTTGCATAAACCTTGCAGATAGCTTACTCCTTTTCCTGCTGTTCCCTAAAGTCCAGACACAGAAAAAGTGTATTTGAAAAGGAAAAATAAGGCAATGGTGTTATTCTTCTCAGCACTCTTCTATAGCTTCCAAATTTCTAACTCACACTTCTCAAGTGCCCTGGGATCTGTCTTGTGTATCTCCGTACCTCATCTCTGCACTCTCACCTGACACACTGTGCTGGGCCCATGGTGGACTCTTTGATTCCTTGACCATGCCAGCTCCTCACCATCTCAGGGGTCTTGCTTTCTCTCTTCCGTCTGCCTACTACGATTTTCCTCTTGAGCTTTCCACACCTGGCTTTTTCTAAATATTTATATTTTTTAGCTTAAATATTTTGTTCTCAGAGATGCCCTCTTGACCCATTTGCAAAACAGCTGCCCCAGGTCCAGCCTATCTCACCAGATGCTTTTCTTACTTGTTCATTCGTTAATTTTTTTATCCTAAATGCTTTCTCCATTGATAGGTAGACTCCACAACTAGCACCTTCTTTCAATGCCATGTCTCTAGCATAGCACTGTCCAATAGAAACATAATGTGATCTGTAAACACGGGCCACATATGTGTATTATAATTTTCAAGTAGCTGTGTGTAAACAGAGTGGGAAACATTAGAGAAATTAACGTCAATAATATATTTTGTTGAATCCTACATATCAAAAATGATATTAGCACATGTAATCAGAGTAAAAATTATCAATGAGCTAACTGGCATTCTTTTTCATACTAAGTCTTAGAAGATAAATGCATTTTATATCTGTAGCATACTTCAGATTAAATGAGAAAAATAGCAAACACTCAAAAGCTGTATTTGGCAAGTGGATACCTCAGAGCAAGCATTCCAACAATAATTGGCAATTTTAAAATTGCCAGACCCCAACTTACCACCAGCTTTCTTGTGGCCAGTTCCTGGCTTCCTGTTGAGCAACACCAGCTCTAAGGATTTGTCAAAAGACAAAATTACAGTAAATTTAGTGTAAAGTTTATGTTGGCTTTATTTGTAATTCTAGAATTTGACAACATCTAATCCCTTAAAATAAAATGTGTGTATTGATGAGTAGAACAGAGAAGTTTGGTTTTATAGGGAGAGGAGGGCTAAAGAAAGCAGAAACAAAGAACAAAAAGCTGAATGGTCATTTTAAAGTTGCTTCTTCTGCACCGGGAATAGGGAAACAATAATGATAAAAACAAAACAAAACAAAACAAAACAAAAACCCAGATTGACTGACATGGTTACTTAGATTACTTCTTTAGTAAGGCTTAAAGCAGAGGCATTTTCATGCCTACTGAAAGTGACCTGTTTGGGAATTTGGCTATTTTCTCTCTCTCCCTCTTTATGATTTCTTGGAAAGCTGGATAAACAACTTACTTTTTGATTTGGTGGCATAGAACTTTAGTCCGAGTGACTCTATTTTGGTTTTGTTTGTTGGGTGTAGTACAGTAGCTCAGTTTAAACCAATGATGTCCTATGGTTTTTACATAATAGCCTTCAGCAGAGACTTTGCTGAAGGACAATGGAGCTGAAATCAATCCAGTGACAGAAACTTAGGGTTTCTTACCATTCCCAAAGGACGCCTTGGAGATGTCATCAAACTATTTGTCGTAAAAACCTATGTGTCTGAATGTTCCTTCACCTCTAACTTTCTGTGGGAGACTGGAGTTCATCCCTCCAAATAATAAGAGTCAGGGAATCTGAGAGTCCAGGCCCTTTCTTCTTCAGAGATTCAGGAAAATGAAAGAAACAATTACCTAGGTGAGAAGAATGAGAGGAAAGGAATAAACAAAGATGCACAATTAAGCAAAAACTCACTTCTCTGTTTACACACATACGTCTAACAGCATATGTGTGGGCTTTTTTCCAAACAGAGCAATTCTCCAATTCTCTGGAGACACCACTGTCTGTCCTACAATTAAATTCAGTTCTGACGCTAACTGGAGCTGGCATCAGATCGCACAAGTTAAAGGACTCACTCCCAGAAGACTGTCCTCGCTTCAGACACCAATCCAAGCCCCACGTGGCCACCTGTACTTCTCACTGATGGGCTATAAATCAGGGGTTCCTATGACCCCCTCCTTAGGTTTGATAATTTGCCAGAATGGCACACAGAACACAATAAATCAGTTTGCTTTCATTTACTGGTTTATTCTAAAGAATACAGCTTAGGACAGGCACGGTGGTTCATGTCTATAATCCCAGCACTTTGGGAGTCTGAAGTGGGTGGATCACTTGAGGCCAGGAGTTCGAGACCAGTCTGGTCAATGTGGCAAAACCCTGTCTCTATTAAAAATATGAAAATTAACCGCATGTGGTAGCACATGCCTGTAATCCCAGCTACTGAGGAGGCTGAGGCACGAGAATCATTTAAACCCAGGAGGCAGAGGTTGTAGTGCTCTGACATCATGCCACTGTACTCCAAGCCTGGGCAACAGAGTGAGACTCGTCTTAAAAAAAAAAAAAAAGGCTGGGCGCGGTGGCTCAAGCCTGTAATCCCAGCACTTTGGGAGGCCGAGGCGGGTGGATCACGAGGTCAAGAGATCGAGACCATCCTGGTCAACATGGTGAAACCCCGTCTCTACTAAAAATACAAAAAATGAGCTGGGCATGGTGGTGCGTGCCTGTAATCCCAGCTACTCAGCCTCCTGAGTAGCTGG